CAGCGACGAATTGAGCAGTTGGTGGCTGGGATGTTGGTGAATACTTTCATGAGCACTTGTCGCAGACCAGGCGTTGGCTATGCCATTGTTGATGATGAGTCCTGTTTGAACCATGCTCAGGAGGCATGGTGCTCAGCAGAAGGATGTATGGGAGCATTGGGGGACTGACAAACTGTTCTTTTTAAAGAATGTCTTTTAGATGAAAAAGGTGAAACAGTGGTTTAACCTGTTTGGAAAAATCAGCCTACAATCTTTGGAGAGAGCAGATTAGACACTTTTGGTTCCCATCTCGCTGCCATTGTCAACGAAAAGAAAGAAAGGAAAGTCGACAGTCATCTTGCTCTTCAGACTCTCACATAGCAAAATGGGTGGCTGAGTGTACATTCATGATTAATGAATATTACTGAAACTATCTTAAATGCATGTTCCAAAATACTGAATTCCTATTAAAATCTTTAACTTGCTGCTTTAGATTCTTTGACCTTTAATTGTTTTGCATTACACATCAACTAATTTACTAAGTCCTTAGAGATTACATATCTGCAGTGTAATATGCACCCTAAGTAATGAATTATATGTTCCAAATTGTATTAAAATGTATGAGTTTTTAAACACCACTCTTTAGTGAGTCAGAACTGCCTAAGACTCACTGTCTATAAATACAATTCGTATGCCAGTATAATATTGTAGTTTAGTATCAAGGACTAGAATTTTATGATTCTTTAGCCAATTCCTCTTGCTTTTGCATTTGTCGTAGTTACTAAGAAATGTACTATACAATAAGACAGAAATATCCCAAATTGACATTGCAGGACAAGTATTTTGTAGACTCGTTAAAAAGTCTTAGGTTGCAGAAAATTTACTGATGTAAAAAAATTACAAAACATCCAGTTACCTGTTCCCAACATTGTGGTAAAAGCTCAGCTTCTACACGTGTTGGTCCCACATGTCGGGCAAATGCCACACACCCAGTCAGTATCATCTGTCTGAAACACAGATTCAAGTCTTTAAC